AGGAGTTGTAGTTTTCACTTCATAAACCATGATTTGATTTTTCATTGGTGATTTGGACCTGTCAAAACTAATTTTCAGTAAACCCTCCATTTAATGAACTTAGGAAATATGGAACAAAGTCCACTTGGGTAACAGATTTGGAAACAGTAGACAAAGTCTTTCAATTGCAGAATTGTTCATTATTGTCACGACCATGAAAAAGAAATTTTTTCTCCACCGCAGTTGCCATTACTGGCACCTGCCTACCCAATTAATCTGTTATGTAGAGGGTTTTCTATATAGGCAGGCCTTGCTTATACAGCAGGTTAAGTTCTGGGCTACTGCTGAAAAATGAAAATTGCTGTACAGTGAATCATAACCTTTTTTCACTTTGAAATGCATATAAACGCCTGTTAACATGTTTACACTATCATATTAAGTGTAGGTAGTAGGTTGGTAGACAGCAACCACCCAGGGAAGTACTACCGTCCTGCCAGATGACTGTGAAACAAAAACCTGTAACTGTTTTGCATGATGGTAGGATTGCTGGTTTCTTTTTCTGTCTCATAAACACGCTAAGATAACAGGGATATCTTGCTACTCCTACTTACACTTTGGTCACACTTCACAGACACGCACATGCATATATATATATACATACATCTAGGTTTTTCTCCTTTTCTAAATAGCTCTGTTCTTTTTTATTTCTTCTATTGTCCATGGGGAAGTGGAAAAGAATCTTTCCTCCGTAAGCCATGCGTGTCGTATGAGGCGACTAAAATGCGGGAGCAATGGGCTAGTAACCCCTTCTCCTGTATACAATTACTAAAAAAGAGAAGAAGAAAAACTTTATAAAACTGGGTTGCTTTAAATGTGCGTGGATGTAGTGCGGATGACAAGAAACAGATGATTGCTGATGTTATGAATGAAAAGAAGTTGGATGTCCTGGCCCTAAGCGAAACAAGCTGAAGGGGGTAGGAGAGTTTCAGTGGGGGAAATAAATGGGATTAAATCTGGAGTATCTGAGAGAGTTAGAGCAAAGGAAGGGGTAGCAGTAATGTTAAATGATCAGTTATGGAAGGAGAAAAGAGAATATGAATGTGTAAATTCAAGAATTATGTGGATTAAAGTAAAGGTTGGATGCGAGAAGTGGGTCATAATAAGCGGTATGCACCTGGAGAAGAGAGGAATGCAGAGGAGAGAGAGAGATTTTGGGAGATGTTAAGTGAATGTATAGGAGCCTTTGAACCAAGTGAGAGAGTAATTGTGGTAGGGGACTTGAATGCTAAAGTAGGAGAAACTTTTAGAGAGGGGTGTGGTAGGTAAGTTTGGGGTGCCAGGTGTAAATGATAATGGGAGCCCTTTGATTGAACTTTGTATAGAAAGGGGTTTAGTTATAGGTAATACATATTTAAGAAAAAGAGGATAAATAAGTATACACGATATGATGTAGGGCGAAATGACAGTAGTTTGTTGGATTATGTATTGGTAGATAAAAGACTGTTGAGTAGACTTCAGGATGTACATGTTTATAGAGGGCCACAGATATATCAGATCACTTTCTAGTTGTAGCTACACTGAGAGTAAAAGGTAGATGGGATACAAGGAGAATAGAAGCATCAGGGAAGAGAGAGGTGAAGGTTTATAAACTAAAAGAGGAGGCAGTTAGGGTAAGATATAAACAGCTATTGGAGGATAGATGGGCTAATGAGAGCATAGGCAATGGGGTCGAAGAGGTATGGGGTAGGTTTAAAAATGTAGTGTTAGAGTGTTCAGCAGAAGTTTGTGGTTACAGGAAAGTGGGTGCAGGAGGGAAGAGGAGCGATTGGTGGAATGATGATGTAAAGAGAGTAGTAAGGGAGAAAAAGTTAGCATATGAGAAGTTTTTACAAAGTAGAAGTGATGCAAGGAGGGAAGAGTATATGGAGAAAAAGAGAGAAGTTAAGAGATGTGGTGAAGCAATGTAAAAAGAGAGCAAAATGAGAGAGTGGGTGAGATGTTATCAACAAATTTTGTTGAAAATAAGAAAAAGTTTTGGAGTGAGATTAACAAGTTAAGAAAGCCTAGAGAACAAATGGATTTGTCAGTTAAAAATAGGAGAGGAGAGTTATTAAATGGAGAGTTAGAGGTATTGGGAAGATGGAAGGAATATTTTGAGGAATTGTTAAATGTTGATGAAGATAGGGAAGCTGTGATTTCGTGTATAGGGCAAGGAGGAATAACATCTTGTAGGAGTGAGGAAGAGCCAGTTGTGAGTGTGGGGAGTTCGTGTAGGCAGTAGGTAAATGAAAGGGGGTAAGGCAGCCGGGATTGATGGGATAAAGATAGAAATGTTTAAAAGCAGGTGGGGATATAGTTTTGGAGTGGTTGGTGCAATTATTTAATAAATGTATGGAAGAAGGTAAGGTACCTAGGGATTGGCAGAGAGCATGCATAGTTCCTTTGTATAAAGGCAAAGGGGATAAAAGAGAGTGCAAAAAATTATAGGGGGATAAGTCTGTTGAGTGTACCTGGTAAAGTGTATGGTAGAGTTATAATTGAAAGAATTAAGAGTAAGACGGAGAATAGGATAGCAGATGAACAAGGAGGCTTTAGGAAAGGTAGGGGGTGTGTGGACCAGGTGTTTACAGTGAACATATAAGTGAACAGTATTTAGATAAGGCTAAAGAGGTCTTTGTGGCATTTATGGATTTGGAAAAGGCGTATGACAGGGTGGATAGGGGGGCAATGTGGCAGATGTTGCAAGTGTATGGTGTAGGAGGTAGGTTACTGAAAGCAGTGAAGAGTTTTTACGAGGATGTGAGGCTCAAGTTAGAGTATGTAGGAAAGAGGGAAATTTTTCCCAGTTAAAAGTAGGCCTTTGGGACAAGGATTTTGTGTTTGTCACCGTGGTTTTTTAAATTTATATTATAGATGGGGTTGTAAGAGAAGTAAATGCGAGGGTCTTGGCAAAGAGGGTGGGTTAAAAGTTTAAAGAATCACCCCACAAAGTGGGAGTTGTCACAGTGCTCTTTGCTGATGACACTGTGCTTTTGGGGAGATTCTGAAGGGGAAGTTGCAGAGATTTGGGGGATGAATTTGGTAGGGTGGGGCAAAAGAAGAAAATTAAAGGTGAATACAGGAAAGAGTAAGGTTATGAGGATAAAAACAAAAGATTAGGTGATGAAAGATTGAATATCAAAATTGGAGGGGGAGGAGAGTATGGAGGATAACGTATTCAGAATATTTGGGAGTGGACGTGTCAGCAGATGGGTCTATGAAAGATGAGGTGAATCATAGAATTGATGAGGGGAAAAAGAGTGAGTGGTGCCTTAGGAGTCTGGGGGAGACAAAGAACTTGTCCCTTTGGGGGCAAAGAGGGGAATGTATGAGAGTTTTGTTTTACCAACGCTCTTTATGGGTGTGAAGCGTGGGTGATGAATGTTGCGCGAGGAGAAGGCTGGAGGCATGGGAGATGGGATGTCTGAGGGCAATGTGTGGTGTGAATATAATGCGAGAATTCGTAGTTTGGAAGTTAGGAGGAGGTGCGAGATTACCAAACCTATCATCCAGAGGGCTGAGGAGGGTTGTTTAGGTGGTTCGGACATGTAGAGAGAATGGAGCGAAACAGAATGACTTCAAGAGTGTATCAGTCTGTAGTGGAAGGAAGGCGGGGTAGGGGTCGGCCTAGGAAGGGTTGGAGGGAGGGGGGTAAAGGAGGTTTTGTGTGCGAGGGGCTTGGACTTCCAGCAGGCATGCGTGAGCGTGTTTGATAGGAGTGAATGGAGACAAATGGTTTTTAATACTTGACGTGCTGTTGGAGTGTGAGCAAAGTAACATTTATGAAGGGATTCAGGGAAACCGGCAGGCCGGACTTGAGTCCTGGAGATGGGAAGTACAGTGCCTGCACTCTGAAGGAGGGGTGTTAATGTTGCAGTTTAAAAACTGTAGTGTAAAGCACCCTTCTGGCAAGACAGTGATGGAGTGAATGATGGTGAAAGTTTTTCTTTTTCGGGCCACCCTGCCTTGGTGGGAATCGGCCGGTGTGATAATAAAAAAAAAAAATTAAGTGAGCAGTATCGCTAGGCCTAAAAAATGCATATACACTACACACTTTACTTACCTTAAAATATTTTCATCCTTAGTGGTGAATATATTTATTGTAGGAAGTCTGAATAAATGAAGATTGGGTATGTAATTGAAAACTGCTACATTAGCAAAACACTATGAAGCGGAGCCTGTCTGTATTATATGAGTTAACCTTCAATTTGAGGATTGATATGGAAGGAGGAGGTGGTTACTAATGGCGATTGTGATAGATAGGGATGTGATCGTTTTGTTATGATTGTAATGATAACCAATGGACTCTGTTTCAAATTTCATTGACTCGGCCAATTTTGTTCCATATTTCTGAAATCCGTTAAGTAAAGGTTCATTAAAGTGAGGGTTTACTTTACTGTATATACAGGTACAGTACACTATATAGTATATGCAGCAGTATATACAGGTATAGTACACTGTATATATATATTTTTTGCTTGCATTACATGGCAGTTGTAATCATCGTGCTTTGTGAGGACTGAATATAAACCATAACCATTGTTTCAGCTTTATTAAATACTTTCTTAATTTTCCTTATTTATTTAACATTACACAATCATTTTTTACAGAATGCTCTTCTAATATGGCAGTTTCGAAGAGCTTTTGGCATTATTTTCAACTTTTAATCAAGAATCTCCATTAACTAAAACTTCAAAATTTAGATTTTAAGGTACTGTACAGTAGCTAACCAGTCTTTGCATGTGCCAACAAAAGCATCTCTGACTTCTTTTATATTCATCACTACATCTACTTTGGAGATTCACGTCATCATTATCATGTTTGCATATATTGGCAGGGTTGTAAAATATTTACTAAGGTAAACTTAGGCCTGAAACATTTATACAATGTTTAACACTTAAAAAGCTATTTATTATTAATGGAATACTAATCCAAATGTAAAAAAAAAATGCGTACACACTCCACACTTTGTAATGTTGCAGATGTTAGAAAGTTTACAGCAGAAGGAGCCACCATCTGAATTTGTAGATGTTGCTGAGAGAAACAGAAAGAACCAAAGTCATGGAGTGAATCGTGCAGATCGACTGTGGTATGTAAATTATTTCCATTTACTTTTGGTGTATGGAAGGAATGCTTAGTGTCCCTTTAGCCAGTAGAACTGAAGGCCCCTCTCATGTTTATGGATTGGTGGGTACACTGTTTATTATGAATGTTTGAAACCTTACAGACATTGGCAGGACTTTTAAATTTTAAGGGTTGTGGCAGTGAAAGTGTAAATAGTCTTTTTGTTAGTCGAGAGTTTGTAACTCAGAACTTATTTCTTATTTTCCATTGACTCCTATGCTGTCATTGTAAATATGCTCTTGAACTATAATAATCTATTTCTAATGTCATTTTTATCAGTGAAATGGTAATATTAAATGGTACTCTCATAATATCTCTCTTCCCTTCCATTTTCTTTCCCTCCCTCTCATACCCTCTCTTATTTCCTTATGTTCCTTCTTCTCTCACTCTCTTCCACTCTCCCATTCACTTCTAAATTTCTATCATATCTGACTCAACACACTTTACATATTCTTCCCACCATCTCCTCAATAAAGTGAAACTATTAAGTTATATTATTTTTTTTATTATCACACTGGCCGATTCCCACCAAGGCAGGGTGGCCCGAAAAAGAAAAACTTTCACCATCATTCACTCCATCACTGTCTTGCCAGAAGGGTGCTTTACACTACAGTTTTTAAACTGCAACATTAACACCCCTCCTTTAGTATTTGAGCATATTGTGCTGGGAAGAAGTTTGGGAGGATACTGCAAAGGGAGATGGAAGGGTTTTATTGTAATGAGTTAGCTACCAGCCTGAGGTCAGTGCCTTTTTCCTTCCCAGCCACTCTGGCAACCCACTTGCTTCTCAGGATCACCAGTCATTCCCTGAACCCTTACCCCTTGGCCACCAACCATCGGTTGGTGCCTGTACTCCAGGCTCCAGTAGGTACCTGTGTGTTAGCCAGTTGCTGTGGGTCACTTCCAGAAAAAAATGCAGTGGAAACTCCAGTCCCATTAAGATGTCATATATGCAAGAAAACCTCAAACCTGCAGGAAGTACTGTATTTTGTGGCTTACTAGATGCATTTTTTTTACATAAAATGTCTCCAACAACGACCCTGTGTCCTATAAACTGAAGGTCGGTAACGCGAGCTGTAAGTTTGGGGTGTGGGGTGGGCTGTAGCTCTCCCAGTTGCTTTCAATGCTGAGCCATTGAAACTAAAACAAAGTCTTATAAGCCGCAAAATGTGGTATTAAAATGTTGGGTTCAAAAGTATGTGTGTTCCACAAAGCATAGTACTCGCCCCCATCCTGTTCTTCATCCTCATATCAGATGTAGACAGAGATGTAATCACAGTACCGTGTCACCTTTTGCAGAAGTATACTAGGATCTGCATGAGACTGTCCTCTAATGAGGACATAGTTAACCTCAAAGAAAACAATATGATGTTCAATGAAGACAAATTCCAACTAGTCTGTTATGGAAAACTGGAGGAAATAATAATTAGAACTGAGTATACTACAAACTAATCATACAATAGTGAAAAAATAATGTGAAGGACATGGGAGTGGCAATGTCTGAGGATCTCACTTTCAAGGATCACAACAGTGCCACAATCACAAGTGAGACGAAAATGATAGGATGGATAATGAGAACATTCAAAACAAGAGATACCAAGCCAATGATGATCCTTTTCAAATTTCTTGTTCTCTCTAGGCTGGAATACTGCCATACATTAACATCTCCATTCAAAGCAGGTGAAATTGCAGTTCTAGAGAATGTACAGAGAACCTTTACTGCACATATAAGTTCCATCAAACACCTTAACTACTGGGAACACTTGGAAGCACTTGACTTGTACTCACTGAAATGCAGGTGAGAAAGATATAATCTACACTTGGAAAATCCTAGAAGGAATGGTCCTGATTCTTCACACAGAAATCACTCCTTATGAAAGTAAAAGACTGGGCAGGCAGTGCAAAATACCCCCAATGATAAGTAAGGGTGCCATTGGTACACTAAGGGAAAACACAATAAGTGTCCAGGACCCAAGACTGTTCAACAGCCTCCCACCATGAATAAGGGGAATTACCAATAGATCCCTGGCTGCCTTCAAGAGGGAGCTTGACAAATACTTAAAATCGGTGCTGGATCAGCTGGACTGTGGTTCGTACATTGGACTATGTGCGGCCAGTAGTAACAGCCTGGTTGATCAGGCCCTGATCAAGATTCCCAGAATACCCTCCGGGTAGTACCTAATGATGTCAGTTAATAAACTAAGAAGCTCACCCACTTCAGTGGCTTACACCCTGCTCCCCGGTCATCTCCCTTCAGTTGCCATTTCAGAGTCAGAAAGAATTCTTCCACCTCACTGCCTTACTAACCACCCCACTTGACAAACGACCTCAATGTACATAGTAAATCTGTAGTTTGTTTACCAGTCTCAATTAGTTTGATCTTCCTATACATGCATAGAATGAGCATGTACAACTCAAAAAATTGTTAGTTTAAAATAATTTCTGTTTGAATATTTGAAGTGATTATAACTGGAAGTTAGAAGTTCATAAGTCAGGATCCTACTGAATTATACTCTTAAATTTTATTCAGAAGAAATTGGAGTTTTATGCATGTACTTCAAACTAAAATTTTATTCTTACTGTTCACAGCCAAGATGAAGACTTCGCAGCAGCACAGGAGGAATGGGAAGCAGTACAGTGTGTAGAGCCAATACTTCGTTCGCCACACAAGGAAGACTTTCACAAAAGTCCTAAAAAACATATTGATGGATCATCTTCCTCGCCAGCAAAATCCCCTGCAAAATCCTCCCAAGGCTTACCACCAAATGTTAAAATCACTCCACATACAGATTTTGATGAGGTGTGGGACTTCTTTACTCGTCAAGATATGAGTCATGTGATGGTAAATATGAACTCTTTTTATCTTACAAATTTAATGCAGTTTTTTACATACAGTAGGGCTGGGGGGTTAGGTTCCAGGCTGTCGCCGGAAAGCAGACATCGCCGGAAGGCAGAACGCCATTTTTTCCATGTATAAATGCATATAAATGCCAGACAACAAGTTTACGCTAAATTATATTAAGTTAGTAATAGAACTAGGCATTAAAAACACACGAAGTAAAATACATTCACAGTACATTCATTACTTATCTTAAAGTATTTGTAATCTTAATGTAGGGAGAGAGGTGAGTAGTACTTATTTGTAGGAAGTCAGGTGCAGGTAGCCCAGGTGTAGGTAGCCCTGGCTTCGCGTCTCATACTTAATATACGATATTTAAAACATCCCAGAGAGGTAAAATACACATAGAGTACACTCATTATTTACCTTAAAATATGTGTAGTCTTAATATAGGAAGAGAGGTGAGTAGTATTTATTTGTAGGAAGTCAGTGTATGTAGCCAGTAGGTGTATCCCGCCTGGGCCACGGTGTAGCCCGCCTGGGCTACACCTACCAGCTGCCTACACTGTGGCCCAGAGCCATATTATTAACATTGACATACCTTGTTCACTGAATTTAATCATTTCTAACAACTACCTTTAGATGCCATCATAAATGAAGGGAGAAATAATGAATAATTCATGCTGAAAATTGTAAACAAAAGCGAAGTGGGGGAGTGGCTGGGCCAAACGCAGATTCATACACGTTTTCTCTGATGGCAGAGAGAAAATGTAGTGTTGTCCCTCCACCCGGCTACCACACAGCTCTACAAGTATTATTATCAGAGCACATATAAAATAGGCAATAAATGCCAGACAACAAGTTTACACTAACTTATATTAAGTTAGCAATACGTATTATTATTATAATCAAGGGGGAAGCGCTAAACCCGTAGGATTATACAGCGCCTGGGGGATGTGGAAGGCATTCAGGCTTAATTTGGGGAACTGGAGCACAGATCCAATTTCCTAAATCAGAGCTCCTCACCAACATCAAAGTTAGCAATAGAAATAGTCATTAAAAACACAATAAAAGGTAAGATACACACAGAGTACACTTATTACTTACCTTAAAATATTAATATTAATGTGTGAGAGGTGAGTGGCAGGGTGTTTATTAAATAAAATCAGAATGGCACACCATCATCCTCTAACTTGGCACCTAAAGCAAGAGGCTTACAACTTCTCTTTTATCACAGCTAACCTTAGATGCCATCGTCAATGAGAGCCAACTAGTTAACAAAAAGTAAATGAGAGAGAGAATGAGATACAGAGTTGAGACAATGTAAGAACACAAACTGAACAGGTAGTGGGCGATCACTTGGTCAGGCGAAATATATGCGTATTAATATGTCTACTTTTAGTTCATTCACGTACGTTTGTAAGTTTGTAAAACATTTACCTCTATTTTTTGATTGTAATAATAATTACCTCACAATACAAATACTCTTATATTGTGTACAAGTTGTACAAGTTAGTACAGAATAAACAAACAGCAACACACCATTTTTAGTGAATGAAGATAATAATAATAATAATAATAATATTATTATTATTATTATTATTATTATTATTATTATTATTATATTATTATAAAAAGCACTAAACCCACAAGGGTCGTGAATTGCTATATATAGAGTAAAGGCATACGAAAGGAATATTTTTCTACAGTTATCTTCCAGTTTGACTAGAGAAAACATAATTCTTCCGACACTACCTACACAGCTGCTTTGTAAACAAATCTCATATTTACGTCAATTTTTATTCTGTGAGTGTATGTATCATGTTTATATGCTATGTAACAGGTTTCATATATAATTTTGAGGAAAATATCATAGATGGATTAATGAAAATGCCTATAATAATGTAAAATAAGACATTTAGTGTGCCCAAGAGTGATTATTATTACGTAGTATTGGCGTCATGAGTAGAGAGAGACTTATCGATTTTAATGTGTATCTGCACACCAGCACAGTGTGTAAGTATATTTAGGTACAGGTACACATAAGTATAATTATCAGAGTACATATAAAATATGCAGTAACTTTAAAACACTTGAAATTTTGGAAAATTTCCTGACATAATAGATGTGGTCACGGAGAATGTAAACAAACCAGGTGGGGGGCGCCGTATTTGAAAGACCGCTTGCCGTATAGCAAATTTTGGTCATAATTTGACATCGCCGTATTAGCGGAACGTCGTAAAGCGGGGCCCTACTGTATACAGCATTCACTTTTTTACAGTCTCATGTCTCATTTATAAATACAACAGTCTCTCACATAACCCAGTGGCTCTTTTCTTGAAAACTGTATTTTACATGAAATTTGTGTTATGTTCTTGTTGAGTGTACTTGTGCATCTTGATATGGATAGACAGACTACAAGGTTTGAGGATGGCTATGGGAAATGACAAGAGTGAAGAGAACCCTGAATGAATGGAATAAAATGATGCTTGATCCACTCACCAAACAGGGCCTCACTCATCCCTGCTGTATTATTCGACCCCCAAGAAACAGGCACAGTGGTTTTGTCTTTGCTTTTTCAAGCACAAGGATTCTGTGACAAATAAATATCCGAAGTCCTATATCTGAAATCACCTGATGCATTAGAGCACAGAAGAAAGATCAGACAATTTTTAGCTGTCTTGAATCCAGGTGCATTTTTTCTCTTGCTTGCGTCATCATCATAATCTGAAATTTCGTCAGCATTAAGCACCTGCTCAGGCTTGTAACGACTTTTGGAAATAAATTTAATCCAGCTAGGTAAAGACGTTCCTGGCAGCAGCATATTCAGCAAATGCACTTTACGCACTAAATTTGATATAATGCAGCCAGCTGTGCATTTTAAACTGGTTGAACCAACCAGAAATAAACACTAATATGGTGGCTTTCCTACCTGCTCACACATTGTTTTTGATATGACTGGGCTTTCTTAATATAAAGATATTAAACAGGGCAACTTTCTTATTTATGTACTCAATCCACACATTCGTTCACCTTTTATCTTAGCTGTATAACCCTTGTGGGTTTAGCACTTAGTTATGATTATTATAATTTTTTTTCCCAGCAAGTCAGCTGTCTCCCACCGAGGCAGGGTGACCCAAAAAAAGAAAGAAAATCCCCAAAAAGAAAATACTTTCATCATCATTCAACACTTTCACCTCACTCACACATAATCACTGTTTTTACAGAGGTGCTCAGAACACAACAGCTTAGAAGCATGTACCTATAAAGACACACAACATGTCCCTCCAAACTGCTAATATCCCGAACCCCTCCTTTAGAGTGCAGGCATTGTACTTCCCATTTCCAGGACTCAAGTCCGATTAATAAAATAACTGGTTTCCCTGAATCCCTTCGCTAAATATTACCCTGCTCACACTCCAACAGCTCGTCAGGTCCCAAATACTATTCGTCTCCATTCACTCCTATCTAACACGCACGCTTGCTGGAAGTCCAAGCCCCTGGCCCACAAAACCTCCTTTACCCCCTCCCTCCAACCTTTTTGAGGATGACCCCTACCCTGCCTTCCTTCCCCTACAGATTTATATGCTCTCCATGTCATTCTACTTTGATCTATTCTCTCTAAATGACCAAACCACCTCAACAACCCCTCTTCAGCCCTCTAACTAATACAGTGGACCCCCGCTTAACGATCACCTCCAAATGCGACCAATTATGTAAGTGTATTTATGTAAGTGCGTTTGTACGCGTATGTTTGGGGGTCTGAAATGGACTAATCTACTTCACAATATTCCTTATGGGAAAAAATTCGGTCAGTACTGGCACCTGAACATACTACTGGAATGAAAAAGTTCGTTAACCGGGGGTCCACTGTACTTTTATTAACTCCATACCTTCTAATTTCCACACTCCGAATTTTCTGCATAATATTCACACCACACATTGCCCTTAGACAGGACATCTCCACTTCCTCCAACCGCCTCCTCGCTGCAGCATTTACAACCCAAGCTTCACACCCATATAAGAGCGCTGGTACTACTATACGTACTTTCATACATTCCCTTCTTTGCCTCCATAGATAACGTTTTTTGTCTCCACATATACCACAACGTACCACTCGCCTTTTTTCTTTCATCAGTTCTATGATTAACCTCATCCTTCATATATCCATCCTCTGACACGTTAACTCCCAAATATCTGAAAACATTCACTACTTCCATACTACTCCTCCCCAATTTGATATCCAATTTTTCTTTATCTAAATCATTTGATACCCTCATCACCTTACTCTCTTCTATGTTCACTTTCAACTTTCTACCTTTACACACACTCCCAAACTCGTCTTCTAACCTTGGCAATTTTTCTTTAGAATCTCCCATAAGCACAGTATCATCAGCAAAAAGTAACTGTGTCAATTCCCATTTTGTATTTGATTCCCAATAATTTAATCCCACCCCTCTCCCGAACACCCTAGCATTTACTTCTTTTACAACCCCATCTTTTTTTTTTTTTTTTTTTTTTTTTTTTCAACAAGTCGGTCGTCTCCCACCGAGGCAGGGTCACCCAAAAAAAAAGAAAGAAAATCCCCCAAAAGAAAATACTTTCATCATCATTCAACACTTTCACCACACTCACACATTATCACTGCTTTTGCAGAGGTGCTCAGAATACAACAGTTTAGAAGCATGTACGTATAAAGATACACGACATATCCCTCCAAACTGCCAATATCCCAAACCCCTCCTTTAAAGTGCAGCCCCATCTATAAATATATTAAACAACCATGGTGACATTACACATCCCTGTCTAAGACCTACTTTTACTAGGAAGTAGTCTTCCTCTCTTCTACACACCCTAACCTGAGCCTCACTATCCTCATAAAAACTCTTTACAACATTTAGTAACCACCTATTCCATATACAGTGGACCCCCGCATACCGTACGCATCGCATACCGTACAATCCGCATACCACTCGCTTTTTTCGCAAAAATTTTGCCTCGCATACCGCCCAAAAACCTGCTCACCGCTCTTTGTCCGAGACGCGTCCAATGTGCGCCCTCAGCCAGCCTCACATGTTCCGCCGGTGGCATTGTTTACCAGCCAGCCTCCGCGGTAACATCCAAGCATACAATCGGAATATTTTGTATTATTACAGTGTTTTCGGTGCTTTATCTGGAAAATAAGTGACCATGGGCCCCAAGAAAGCTTCTAGTGCCAACCCTACAGGAATAAGGGTGAGAATTACTATAGAGATGAAGAAAGAGATCATTGATAAGTATGAAAGTGGAGAGCGTATCGCCGACCTGGCCAGGTTGTACAAGAAACCCAAATCAACCATCGCTACTATTGTGGGCAACAGAAAGGCAATCAAGGAAGCTGTTCTTGCCAAAGGTTTAACTGTGTTTTCGAAACAGAGATCGCAAGTGATGGAAGATGTTGAGAGACTCTTATTGGTGTGGATAAATGAAAAACAGGTAGCAGGAGATAGCGTCTCTCAAGCGATCATAAGCGAAAAGGCTAGGAAGTTGCATGAGGATTTAATTAAAAAAATGCCTGCAACTAGTGATGATGTGAGTGAATTTAAGGCCAGCGAAGGTTGGTTTGAGAGATTTAAGAAGCATAGTGGCATACATAGTGTGATAAGGCATGGTGAGGCTGCCAGTTCGGACCACAAAGCAGCTGAAAAATATGTTCAGGAATTCAAGAAGTACATAGACAGTGAAGGGCTGAAACCTGAACAAGTGTTTAATTGTGATGAAACAGGCCTGTTTTGGAAGAAAATGCCAAGCAGGACCTACATTACTCAGGAGGAAAAGGCACTCCCAGGACATAAGCCTATGAAAGACAGGCTTACTTTGTTGATGTGTTCCAATGCTAGTGGTGATTGCAAAGTGAAGCCTTTATTAGTGTATCACTCTGAAACTCCCAGACCGTTCAGGCAAAAGAATGTCCTCAAGGAGAATTTGTGTGTGCTGTGGAGGGCAAACAGTAAGGCATGGATCACTAGGGACTTTTTCTATGACTGGTTACACCATGCATTTGCCCCCAATGTGAAAGATTACCTAACTGAAAAGAAATTAGACCTTAAGTGCCTCCTGGTGTTAGACAATGCCCCTGGTCATCCTACAGACGTGGCAGAGCGACTTTATGGGGACATGAGCTTCATTAAGGTGAAGTTTTTGCCTCCTAATACCACTCCTCTCCTGCAGCCCATGGACCAGCAGGTTATTGCAAACTTCAAAAAACTGTACACAAAAGCTCTGTTTGAAAGGTGCTTTGTAGTGACCTCAGAAACTCAACTGACTCTAAGAGAGTTTTGGAGAGAGCACTTTAATATCCTCAATTGTGTAAACCTTATAGGTAAGGCTTGGGAGGGAGTGACTAAGAAGACCTTGAACTCTGCTTGGAAGAAACTGTGGCCAGAATGTGTAGACAAAAGGGATTTTGAAGGATTTGAGGCTAACTCTGAGAGGATTATGCCAGTTGAGGAATCCATTGTGGCATTGGGAAAGTCCTTGGGGTTGGAGGTTAGTGGGGATGATGTGGAAGAGTTGGTGGAGGAGGACAATGAAGAACTAACCACTGATGAGCTGATAGATCAACTTCAACAGCAAGAGGCCAGACCTGAGGAAACTGGTTCAGAGGAGGGGAGAGAGAAATTGCAGAAATTGCCTACTACAAAGATTAAGGAAATCTGTGCAAAGTGGCTTGAAGTGCAAACCTTCATGGATGAAAATCACCCTCACACAGCTATTGCAAGCCGTGCTGGTGATTATTACACTGACAATGTTGTGAAACACTTTAGGGAAGTCATAAAGGAACGAGAGGTACAGGCCACTATGGACAGATATGTTGTGCGAAAGAAGTCCAGTGACTCTGAAGCTGGTCCTAGTGGCATTAAAAGAAGAAGGGAAGTAACCCCAGAAAAGGACTCGACACCTCAAGTCTTAATGGAAGGGGATTCCCCTTCTAAACACTAACACTCTCTCTCCCCTCCTCCCATCCCATCAATCATCACCAGATCTTCAATAAAAGTAAGTGTCATGTAATTGTGCATGCCTTTTTCAGTTTATGTGTATTAAAATTAACATTTCATGTGGTAAAAATTTTTTTTTTTCATACTTTTGGGTGTCTTGCACGGATTAATTTGATTTCCATTATTTCTTATGGGGAAAATTCATTCGCATACCGAACATTTCGCATAACAAACAGCCCTCTTGCATGGATTAAAGTCGCTATGCGGGGGTCCACTGTACTTGTAACATCTGCCACATTGCTCCCCTATCCACTCTATCATATGCCTTTTCTAAATCCATAAATGCAATAAAAACTTCCCTACCTTTATCTAAATACTGTTCACATATATGCTTCAATGTAAATACTTGATCTACACATCCCCTACCTACTCTAAAACCTCCTTGCTCATCCGCAATCCTACATTCTGTCTTACCTTTAATTCTTTCAATAATAACCCTACCGTACGCTTTTCCTGGTATACTCAGTAAACTTATTCCTCTGTAATTTTTACAATCTCTTTTGTCCCCCTTCCCTCTATATAAAGGGACTATACATGCTCTCTGCCAATCTCTAGGTACCTTCTCCTCTTTCATACATTTATTAAACAAAAATACCAACCACTCCAACACTGTCCCCCCCTGCTTTTAACATTTCTGTCATGATCCCATCAGTTCAAGCTGCTTTACCCCCTTTCATTCTACATAATGCCTCACGCACCTCCCCCACGCTCACATCCTGCTCTTCTTCACTCCTACAAGATGGTATACCTCCCTGGCCAGTGCATGAAATTACCGCCTCCCTTTCTTCATCGACATTCAAAAGTTCCTCAAAATATTTTCGCCATCTACCCAATACTTCCATCTCCTCATCTACTAACTTCCCTACTCTGTTTTTAACTGACATATCCATTCATTCCATAGGCTTTCTTGTTTAACTCATTCCAAAATTTGTTCTTATTTTCATTAAAATTTCTTGACAGTGCCTCTCCCACTCTATCATCTGCTGTCCTTTTGCACTCTCTCACCACTCTCTTCACCTTTCTTTTACTCTCCATATACTCTACTCTTCATATAACACTTCTGCTTTGTAAAAACCTCTCATAAGCTACCTTTTCTCTTTTATCACACCCTTTACTTCATCATTCTGTCAATCACTCCTCTTTCCTCCTGCACCCACCCTCCTATAACCACAAACTTCTGCCCCACATTCTAATACTGCATTTTTAAAACTATTCCAACCCTGTTCATGCCCCCCACTACTCATACTTGCACCAGCCCACCTTTCTGCCACTAGTTGCTTATATCTCACCCTAACTTCCTCCTCCCTTAGTTTATACACTTTACCTCCCTCTTACTTGTCATTTTCCTCTTGTCCCATCTACCTCTTACTCTAACTGTAGCTACAACTAAATAATGATCCGATATATCAGTTGCCCCTCTATAAACGTGTACATCCTGGAGCCTACCCATCAACCTTTTATCCACCAATACATAATCTAATAAACTACTTTCATTACGTGCTATATCATACCTTGTATATTTATTTATCATCTTTTTCATAAAATATGTATTACTTATTACCATACCTCTTTCTGCACATTGCTCAATTAAAGGCTCCCCATTTTCATTTACCCCTAGCACCCCAAATTTACCTACTACTCCCTCCACAACATTTTTACTCACTTTAGCATTGAAATCCCCAACCATAAGTACTCTCGCATCTGGTTCAAAACTCCCCATGCATTCACTCAACATTTCCCAAAATCTCTCTCTTTCCTTTACACTTCTCTCTTCTCCAGGTGCATATACGCTTACTATAACCCACTTTTCGCATCCAACCTTTATTTTACTCCACATAATCCTTGAATTAATTCATTTATAGTCCCTCTTTTCCTGCCATTGCTTATCCTTCAACATTATTGCTACTCCTCCTTTAGCTCTAACTCTACTTGAAGCCCCTGACCTAATCCCATTTATTCCTTATTTAGCTGCAGTGACCTCGTTCCCATACTTTTTTACAATTTCACATCAAGATTACTCTTTCCACAAGCTCTTATCTTCACTTCATACTGTCGTTGCTTTGTTTACACGGAAAGCGTGCACCACCTCTAAGCACAACTAACACCTATATTTTGATTAAAATTCTCATTCTTAACTGTTATTTTTCTTTTTTGGCACCTTTAATATCACTAGTATTCCTCTTTGGCACTATGGTTAATATTTTGAGACTGAAATGGAGTGACGACAAGATCTAAACTTGCTTTAATCATACATGACTGACTGAGGAATACATCTAGAAGGCAACTTCAGCATGGGAAGTGGTTACATCATGGTGTGACATAAGCTTCCTTCTATAAACAATGGATGTGCTCATGGGCTCCAGGAGCAGCAGCCTGGTTGACCAGGCTAGTACCAGATGAGCCTGGCCCATGACCAGGCTCTGGGAGTAGAAGGACTCGAAACTCATCAAAGGTTCAAATGGCTAACCTCCACACAAAAGGGAAATGCTTTATCACATGGCGTGTTCTAATAAGATGTATCATGCATTATGGACTCTTGATTATTTTTCCCAATTTTAAAGCATGCTACAGCATGCTCCATACTATTTTTGTTCCTGTGCCAAGTAGACTGGAAAAATTATTTCATTTGTGTTTTATTGAAATTGCTGCTGGTCTGTTGTATATTAAATAACTCTGATGACCTCACATACCTGCCTAATGCCTGCTTTTTACTAGAAAATAATACTGCGCTCTTATATCCCCTAACATAAGTTTTATTTTATGGACAAGAGATCTTATGTATGTCATATTTAAATGTTTTTCAGGGTTCCATCAAGCCAACATTAGAGCAGAGGGGGGTAAATGGACTCTTTCGTAGCATTTTTGGACCTAAGAAGCTGAAAGCTGAGCTTATTGAAGAGAGAAATTTGCTCTTTGCCATTGCCCAATGTGAGTGTTTTTTAATGTGGAAAGAACCCTTGGTTTTATTTCTTTATTACACTTCAGTTCTTTCTGACTGGCTCATTCTTACTCTTTGCACTGTGTATGAATTTCAGTTACTTTTTACCTGTGTCTGTCAGTAGAAAACAGTTTCTTTACATTTATTATTGGTAAGTGTTGTTAAATAATTGATTATTGGTTTTGGATCTCTGACATTAGTAGGGTATATATATTTTGCAATTCAATTTGATATTTTGATTTATATTTGTCTCTGGATAACTATTAATGTAAAGTTTATTTTAGTTGGGGATGAAGTGTGGTATGTGCTATAAGAAGTACATAATACTGGAAATATATACAGTGGACCCTCGACCAACGATATTAATCCGTTCCTGAGAGCTCATCGTTAATCGAAATTATCGTTAGTCGAGTTAATTTTCCCCATAAGAAATAATGGAAATCAAATTAATCCGTGCAAGACACCCAAAAGTATTGAAAAAAATTTTTTTACCACATGAAATATTAATTTTAATACACACAAGCTGAAGAAGACATGTACAATTACATGACACTTACCTTTATTGAAGATCTGGTGATGATTGATGGGATGGGAGGAGGGGAGACTGTGGATGGTGTTAGTGTTTAGAAGGGGAATCCCCTTCCATTAGGACTTGAGGTGTCAAGTCCTTTTCCGGGGTTACTTCCCTTCTTTTAATGCCACTAGGACCAGCTTGAGAGTCACTGGACCTCTGTCGCACAACATATCTGTCCATAGAGGCCTGTACCTCCCGTTTCTTTATGACATTCCTAAAGTGTTTCACAACATTGTCAGTGTCACAATTAAACACTTGTTCAGGTTTCAATTCTTCACTGTCTATGTACTCCTTGAATTCCTGCACATATTTTTCAGCTGCTTTTTGGTCCAAACTGGCAGCCTCACCATGCCTTATCACACTATGTATGCCACTACGATTCTTAAATCTCTCAAACCAACCTTTGCTGGCCTTAAATTCACTCACATCACCACTAGTTGCAGGCATTTTTCTAATTAAATCCTCATGCAACTTCCTAGCCTTTTCACATATGATCGCTTGAGAGATACTATCTCCTGCTATCTGTTTTTCGTTTATCCACACCAATAACAGTCTCTCAACATCTTCTATCACTTGCGATCTCAGTTTCGAAAACATAGTTGGTGGCACCCTTGGCAAGAACAGCTTCCTTGATTGCCGTTTTCTTGGCCACAATAGTAGCGATGGTTGATTGGGGTTTTGTGTACAACCTGGCCAGCTCGGAGACACGCACTCCACTTTCATACTTAGCAATGATCTCTTTCTTCATATCCATAGTAATTCTCATCCTTTTTGCTGTAGGGTTGGCACTAGAAGTTTTCTTGGGGCCCATGGTGACTTACTTTGCAGGTGCAATCGCTAAAAACGCTGTGATAATATGAAATGTTCCGGTTGTATGTTTGGATGGGACAGCAGTGGCTGGCTGGCTTGTAAACACTGGCCACAAGTGGACGCGTCTCAGACGTAACGAATCGTATTGGTCGAGTTTTTTACCGCTAGTCGAGGCAAAATTTTTGCATTAAAATGTATCGCTAGTCGGATTTAACGTTAGACGATGCCATCGTTGGTCGAGGGTCCACTGTATTTTGTATGCAGTAGTCCATTAATAACTATACTTCACTTTGAGGGAGCTCTGATAATTTTACAGCAACTTTTAAAGGCTTTTTGTTTTACATGTAATGCAGGTTATTCATAATATTGAATGTTAAGTGCAGGTGATCATATTTCTCTAAAAATAATTAGTCATACTATGAATAAGTATTTTTGCAGTAAATAAAACATTTCGTCTCTTGCAGGCCAGTTTGATAATAATGAACCAATACACCTCCAGATTTTACAAACGGTGTATAAGGTTCTCACTAGTACCAAGATTGATTGTCCTCGATTTGGTAGTCATTGGGATGTGATTGGATTCCAGGTAGGACTGAGCCCATAATTAAAATTATTGGTGAATGTTTTAATCAGAACATTATTACAGACAAATTTTCACCTTTCCCAATAAAGGATCATTTGATATATTAGACACATGTGCAACACTTGGGTATCTTAAATGAGGAAATGTTTTGCCACACAGTGGCTTCATCAGTCTATACAAAGGAGAATGGTGAAGAACAGGAGGAGTTTTAAGGTAACGAGTCCCTCAGCCTTGAGTCGATGTAATCAGTCCATCAATCTTGAAAAGAATACAGCATATGCTCAAAGAAGTGGCTTATATACTGTAAGCAGGAGAGGTGCAGCAGTCGTAGGTGGTGTGACATAAGCATAAGCCTCTTAAGTGTCTTGTACTCTGGCATGATTATTGGTCATCTCTTTCTATTTCACAAACACGTTTGATGCCAGATATATCTTACAAAGATCTTACACTTGGTATTGACAGATTTTATTTCCCTTGTCTTTCTTAATAATTTGTATATGTTAAAAATTATCTCTTTTTACTCATATAACTGATGCCGTAACTTTCAATGAGTCCATATAGCCACTATTTTCAAATACGAATGATTGGAGAAATGCCTTCTCCTAACTACACTGCTTCTGATTGGTTACTTGAGGATGACAGAGCTTCCCTTTCCTTAACCCTTTCAGGGTCCAGAGGCCAAATTTCAAAGGGTGCACCAGTGTCCAAGAATTTTCAAAAAATAATTTTGTTATTTTTTCTTATGAAATGGTTACTAGCCCATTGTTCCCGGTAATTTAGTTGACTTTTACAACACGCATGGCTTACGGAGGAAAGATTCTTATTCCACTTCCTCATGGATATAAAAGGAAAAGTAATAAGAACAAGAACTAAGATAAAATCAAAGAAAACTCAGATGAGTGTGTATAAATAAACGTGTACCTGTGTGACCTAAGTGTAGGTAGAAGTAGCAAGACGTACCTGTAATCTTGCATATTTATGAGACAGACAAAAGACACCAGCAATCCTACCATCTTTCTTTCAACACACTGGCCGTATCCCACCGAGGCAGGGTGGCCCCAAAAGGAAAAACGCAAGTTTCTCCTTTTACATTTAGTAATATATACAGGAGAAGAGGTTACTAGCCCCTTGCTCCCGGCATTTTAGTCGCCTCTTACAACACGCATGGCTTACGGAGGAAGAATTCTGTTCCACTTCCCCATGGAGATAAGAGGAAATAAACAAGAATAAGAACTAGAAAGAAAATAGAAGAAAACCCAGAGGGGTGTGTATATATGTGCTTGTACATGTATGTGTAGTGTGACCTAAGTGTAAATAGAAGTAGCAAGACATACCTGAAATCTTGCATGTTCATGATACAGAAAAAAGGACACCAGCAATCCTACCATCATGTAAAACAATTACAGGCTTTCGTTTTACACTCACTTGGCAGGATGGTAGTACCTCCCTGGGTGGTTTAGACTGAATACCAAGTCTGAAAATAGAAGTAAGTCATTCCTTGTTATCCAACATTCTTTTAGCATATTTTAATTGTAAATAATTACTGAAGACTAAATTAATTATTGTGTGAACTTACATTACATTAAGTTTTTTTTCTCTTGGATTTTTATTCCTCATAGGGAGTTGATCCTGCAACTGATTTACGTGGTGTTGGTCTGCTTGGGTTGGTTCAAGCTCTCTATTTATTAACTCATGAACCTCTGCTGCCTCTTGCCCGGGATATATTTCGTCTCAGTCATGACCAACATTCGCAGTTTCCTCTTATGGTGCTCTCAATCAATGTCACAAGGATATCACTACAAACTCTCCGAGAAGGATATTTAAATAAGTAAGTCTTGCTTGCTTGGTATTTTTTCAAGTATTTTGTTCCTTTTCTGTTCATTGTACATTAAATATTTGTTTTAATATTTCTTTCTTTCAACACACCGGCCGTATCCCACCAAGGCAGGGTGGCCCAAAAAGAAAAACGAAAGTCTCTCTTAAATTTAGTAATTTATATGGGAGAAGGGGTTACTAGCCCGTTGCTCCGGGCATTTTAGTCGCCTCTTACAACACGCATGGCTTACGGAGGAAAAATTCTGTTCCACTTCCCCATGGAGATAAGAGGAAATAAACAAGAACAAGAACTAGAAAGAAAATAGAGGAATACCTAGAGGGGTGTGTATATATATGCTTGTACATGTATGTGTAGTGTGACCTAAGTGCAAGTAGAAGTAACAAGACATACCTGAAATCTTGCATGTTTATGAGACAGACAAAAGACACCAGCAATCCTACCATCATGTAAAACAATTACAGGTTTTTGTTGTACACTCACTTGGCAGGACGGTAGTACCTCCCTGGGCGGTTGCTGTTTACCAACCTACTACCTAGATACTTTTTTTTTTTTTTTTTTTCAACAAGTCGGTCGTCTCCCACCGAGGCAGGGTGACCCAAAAAAGAAAGAAAATCCCCAAAAAGAAAATACTTTCATCATCATTCAACACTTTCACCACACTCACACATTATCACTGCTTTTGCAGAGGTGCTTAGAATACAACAGCTTAGAAGCATATACGTATAAAGATACACAACATATCCCTCCAAACTGCCAATATCCCAAACCCCTCCTTTAAAGTGCAGGCATTGTTTTTCCCATTTCCGGGACTCAAGTCCGACTTTTTGAAAATAACCGTTTCCCTGAATCCCTTCACTAAATATTCCCGTCACACCCAACAGATCGTCGGGCCCCAAGTATCATTGTCTCCTTTCCCCCTTTTAACACGCTCATCCCAGCTTGCGGGAAACCCAAAAGCCCCCCCCCGAAAAAACCCCCTTTTCCCCCCCTCTTTCCACCCTTTCGGGGCGACCCTCCCCCTTTTTCCCCCCCTATAGATTTATATGCTTTCCATGTCATTCTACTTTGATCCATTCTCTTAAAAAACCCAAAAAACCCCCTAAACCCCCCCCTCTTCGCCCTTGACTAATGCTTTTTTTAACTCCAACCTTCTCCTAATTTCCCACTCGAATTTTTGTAATATTTAACCACACATTGCCCTTAGACAGGACATCCCCCTGTCCAACCGTCTCCTCGTTTGCGCATTTACACCCAAGTTTCACACCCATATAAGAGTGTTGGTCTACTATACTTTCATACATTCCCTTCTTTGCCTCCATAGATAACGTTTTTTGACTCCACATATACCTCAATGCACCACTCACCTTTTTTCCCTTCATAATTCTATGGTTAACCTCATCCTTCATAAATCCATCTGCCGACACGTCAACTCCCAAGTATCTGAAAACATTCACTTCTTTTTCCCTACTCCTCCTCCCCATTTGATATCCAATTTTTCTTTATCTAAATCATTTGATACCCTCATCACCTTAATCTTTTCTATGTTCACTTTCAACTTTCTACCTTTACACACATTCTCAAACTCATCCACTAACCTTTGGGAATTTTTCTTTAGACTCTCCCATAAGCACGTATCATCAGCCAAAAAGTAACCCGTGTCAATTCCCATTTTGAATTTGATTCCCATAATTTAATCCCACCCCTCTCCCGAACACCCTTTGCATTTACTTCTTTTACAACCCCATCTATAAATATATTAAACAACCATGGTGACATTACACATCCCTGTCTAAGTCCTACTTTTACCGGGAACTATTCTCCCTCTCTTCTACAAACCCCAACCTGAGCCTCACTATCCTCATAAAAGCTCTTTACAGCATTTGTAACTTACCACCCATTCCATATACTTGCAACATCTGCCACATTGCTCCTCTATCCACTCTATATATGCCTTTTCTAAATCCATAAATGCAATAAAAACTTCCCTACCTTTATCTAAATACTGTTCACATATATGCTTCAATGTAAACACTTGATCTAAAATCCCTACCCACTCTGAAGCCTCCTTGCTGTCGCACATTCTACATTCTGTCTTACCTCTAATTCTTTCAATTATAACCCATACCGTATACTTTTCCTGGTATACTCAGTAAACTTATTCCTCTATAAATTTTTACAATCCTTTTGTCCCCTTTCCCCTTTTTATGAAGGGACTATACATGCTCTCTGCCAATCCCTAGGTACCTTCCCCTTTTTATACATTTATTAAACAAAAGTACCAACCACTCCAACACTATATCCCCCCTGCTTTTACATTTCTGTCATGATCCCATCAGTTCCAGCTGCTTTACCCCCTTTCATTCTACATAATGCTCAGACCTCCACCACACTTACATTTTGCTCTTCTTTCACTCTAAAAGATGGGATACTCCTGGGCCAGTGATGAAATTACCGCCCCCCTTTCTTCCTCAAACATTTAAAAGTTCTCAAAATATTCTCGCATCTACCCAATACCTCCCCCCCCCATCTACAAAACTCCCTACTCTTTTTTTTAATGACAAATCCATCTTTCCGGGCTTTTTAACTTTTCATTAAAAATTCTTGACAGTGCCTTTAATTTTTTAAACTTTTCTTTAAAAAATTTTCTTGAAGGCCTCTCCCACTTTTATCTGTTTCCCCTTTTTGCACTTCTCACCACTCTCTTCATTTTCTTTTACTCTCCATTATTCTGCTCTTTTATAACACTTCTGCTTTGTAAAAACCTCGTAAGCTACCTTTTTTCTTTTATCACCCCCTTTACTTCATCATTCCCCCCAATCATCCTCTTTCCTCCGCCCCCCCCCTCCTATAACCACAAACTTCTCCCCCACATTTTTTCTGCTTTTTTAAAAACTTTTCCAACCCTTTTAAACCCCCCAAATATCATCTTTCATACCCACCTTTTCCCAATAGTCGCTTATTCTCCCCCGAACTTCCTCCTCCCTTAGTTTATACACTTCACCTCCCTCTTACTTGTTTTTGCCCCCTTTCCCTCTTTTCCCATCTACCTCTTACTCTAATGTGCTAAAACTAAAAAATGATCCGTATTCAGTTGCCCCTTATAAACATTACACCCTGGGCCTACCCTAAAACCTTTATCCACCAATCAAAATCTAGCAATACTTTCATTACGTGCTAACATACCTTGTATATTTATTTACCCTTTTTTCATAAAATATTTTTTTCTTATTCCCAAATTTTTTCACATAGCTCAATTAAAGGCCCCCCCATTTACATTTACCCTGGACCCCAGATTTACCTACTCTCCTCCTAACATTTTTACCCCTTTAGCATTGAAAACCTAACCCCTTCTCTCACCTTTATTCAAAACTCCCCGATTCACTCAACTTTTCCCCGAAACTTCTCTTCCTAGATACATTATATTAAAAAAAAAAATACAGGGGCATTAGAGAATGGTTATTATTTTTGGGAGTGTTGAAAGGTTTCATTTAGACTGGTTGATCAGACCCTCAGCCTGAGTCTGACTGGGGTGGGTGTGACCCGAGAAAGTCATCAGATAAACTATAACCAATTTAATGTTGTAAAAAGTAGGTGGCCCCTTTTGTTTTATACTTTGTTCTTTAAATATTTTTTTAAAGTTGGATTTTTTTTTCCTGTTATCTCTTAGAGGGGTTTGGGAAAAATAGAGAAGAATAATTTTTTCAATGTTCTGATGTTGTTCATTGTAAGTATGCTGCTCAGTTTATATTGCAGATTGAATGACAACACTAGCTTGTTGGCCACTTCCTATTAAGGTAGGGTGGCCTATGAAAGGAAATATTTTCACTATCATTCATTCAAAATCTGTCTTGCCAGAAATGTGCAGGCATCTCAATTCAAAGGGGATAAAGTAGGACTTCAATAATCTAATCGGTTGAGTTATGGAAACTCCCAAAAGCAGGCATGATTTTGGTAATATGTAATATACGTACTTAAATTTGCCAGATGTTACAGAAATCTTGAAATTCAGAACAGGATGTCATAGTACCTGGTGTCACTAAGCTGTTATTTGAGCTATGTTTACTGTTTGTGCAGCTAGCTGATTCATGGTGAGACCTTTGCAGATCCATTCAGTGAAGCTCACTCTCTCTCTCTCTCTCTCTCTCTCTCTCTCTCTCTCTCTCTCTCTCTCTCTCTCTCTCTCTCTCTCACTCTCACTCTCTCTCTCTCTCTCACTCTCACTCTCTCTCACTCTCACTCTCTCTCACTCTCTCTCACTCTCACTCTCTCTCACTCTCTCTCACCCTCACTCTCTCACTCTCTCTCACTCTCTCTCACTCTCACTCTCTCTCACTCTCACTCTCTCTCACTCTCTCTCTCACTCTCTCTCACTCTCACTCTCTCTCACTCTCTCTCACTCTCTCTCACTCTCTCTCTCACTCTCTCTCTCTCTCTCTCTCTCTCTCTCTTTCTCTTTCTCTTTCTCTTTCTCTTTCTCTCTCTCTCTCTCTCTCTCTCTCTCTCTCTCTCTCTCTCTCTCTCTCTCTTTCTTTCTTTCTCTCTCTCTCTCTCTCTCTCTCTCTCTCTCTCTCTCTTTTTTTTTTTTTTTTTTTTTTACACACACAGGGTTTGACAAGGTTAAGGATCCTTAGCTTTATTGACAGCTATTTACAGGTTAAGGATTCCTAACTTTATTGGCAAGCTAAGAGCTGTTACCTACATCAGCTCATTTGAAAGCATTTTTATTGTTATGAGACATACAAGTAGGAAATAGGATGAAGTTGGAGCCATCTGTGGGCCAGCATTTTCATTTGATCAACTGACTTTATCTCGTTGACATCATTATCCTGTACGAATGTGTTCCATACTTGAGTCATCCTGGGTATGTATGATCTCAGATGGAGTGATGTTCTGGAGAACGGTACAGCAAGAGTGAAGTTGCTGCTTTCTGCCCGTCTTGTGGCATAAAAGCTTGTTTTCACGCTGTCCTCGAAGTGGATCCAAGTGTGGTATTTTGACAATATTGGCCTTGTACATAACAGTAAGGCCACCCACATCCCTCCTATGTTGAAGGCTCTGCTGAAATGACAGGTCTATCCAGGATGGGTCCAGGCGAGAGATGAGACATCTTGCTCTGTTCTCTACTCTGTCAAGCAGTCGCAGATGAGAGGGGGGCAGGCAAACCAAGAAAGTGGAGCATACTCAAGGTGCGAGCGTACTTGTGCCTCGTACAGGATCTTGCAACCCCTACTGTCAAGCAGATGGGAGATACGGCGAAGTGCTGTAAGCTTCCTGGCTGCCTTGTTTGCAAGATTTACAACATGGTTCTTCATGGTTAGTTTGGAGTCAAATTTCACCCAAGGATATCAACTTCTTCTCCAGGTGCCAACATCCTCCCATTCATCCTTACTACTGCCACAGCATTACCATCATGGTGCCTAGAGACAATCATCATTTGCATTTTCTCAGGTGAAAATGTTACTTGCCATCTTTTCCCCCAAGTAAATAGCTCTCAGCGGGTGTTTGATGTACTTAGAGCAGCTGGCTTTCTTTCTTGGAAAATGAAGTCGGTTTCAGTCGTCTGCATATGCATGTGATTCTTGGGAGAGAGAAAAAGGGTCGTTAAAAGTAGACTTCCCATAACAATGGCCCCAGCACCTTCCTTGTGGAAACTTGCCCCAATGGATGTCTTGCTATTCCGTTCCATTAGAACTACACTTAAGATCTACCATAAAGGTAGTCACGGGAACATAGCAAGACCTAAATTTTCCCAGGTTGAGTTTTTGCAAAAGAGGCCCCTGGTGCCACCCCCGGGGTCAAAAGTGCCAGAATGCCATGCTACCACACGTGACTTTGGATTCATCCAGTGATGGTGCCTTAGTGGAGAGGTTTAAAAAAACAGATCAGAGCGAGAAAATTTTTCCGAAGCCTATTGCGATCAAAAGTAGTGAGTGGTAGTCAAAAAACTCTGTCATTTGTCTTGAGATTATTGTCTCAAGGATCTACCAGTGATTGACAGGAGTGACACTGGTCTGTAGTTGCTGATTTCTGCTCTGCTCTTCTTTTTGTGAACAGGAACTACATTTGCCTCTTTCCATAGAGAGGGCCATTTACACTGTACTAGGCAGTGCTGAAAGATGCGAGTTAGAGGTGCTTCTAGCTGGTCTGCACATCTTCTCAAACAATCTTGGGCTCAACTTGTCTGGGCCCACAGCCTTTTCTTGGTCAAGCGATTTAAGTAGGAAATGCACCTCCTCCTGCCTTATTGTCACCACTGACAGTTTTGACACAGTTCTTGCAGCTAGCCAAGGAGGGTCCCTTGCTGGATCAGGAACTTGCATTTTGGTAGCAAAGTGTTCAGCAAAGAGATCTGCCTTCTCTTGACTACTAATAGAGGTGGTCCCATCCTGTCGATTTAGAGGTGGAATAAGTTCATCAGGCAGATAACCTTGTCTGTCCTTGACCAGGACCACCAGGTTTTGGAGCCTACCCTACCTGATGCTAACTTTCTTTTAGTGTCCACCTCCCATTTAGCAATGGCCCACTTTTGAACATCACCCATATGCTACAGGCTTGCATGTGCAAGTTCCTGTTATAGGTGGTAGGATGTCTCTTATACCTTCGCCATGCTTTGTACTTAGCAGTAGCAGCCTCTCTACAATGAAAGCCAAACCAAGGCTGATCTGTAGGCTTCGTCACATATTGCCGGTGAGGAATGTGTTCTTGTTGTAGATTAAGGATGTGTCCAGTGAAGGCTTTCACTTGGTTGTCAACATCCCCTTGGAGAAGAGCATTCCAGTCGGTGGTGGCGAGCTCAGAGCAAAGGGCTGGCCAATTACCTCTTTCCCATAGCCAGGTTGTGCGTGTGGACTCCTCACCTCGTTCTGTTGGGATCTTAAGTGTGGTAAAAACAGCCTTGTGGTCAGACGATCCAACGTAGCCGAGGGGTTGACAAGTGACTATGCCTTCTGCCAGATCACTCACTACTGGGTCAAGGGAGGAGCCAGAGATATGAGTAGGGAAATCAACAAAGTTTCTCATGTCAAACACTGCAAGAAGGTTCTCAGAGTCCCTCTGTATAAGGTGCTGGTTGAGGTCACCAACAATTATAATATGTTGACAGTTGTGTTGTAGCAGAAGGGAGTCAATATTGTCCATTAGGAAGTTGATAGGGTCTGCATGTTGCCATTGAGGTCTGTACATTGCACATGCTAGTACAGAGGTACTAGTGTTTATACAGAGCTTGAAGAACATCATTTCAAGATGTGTAGGGGTGGCAACATCAATATGCTGGGCATGAACACTTTTAGAGAAGAACACAGCAACACCTCCTCCTTGCCCTTGCCTGTCTCTTCTCATCCATGAAGTGTAGCCAGCAATTCTTGCAAAATTTTCTGGAGTCCTGTCATCCAAAAATGTTTCAACAACGGCTATCATGTCGGGACGTCGAGTGTTCACAAAGCTATGTGTGAGCTCTCCAACATTAGTAATGAAACCTCTAATGTTGGCCGACAGGATGCTGATAGACTGGCTCCTCATGATGAAGTGGTCAGCATGAGGTGGTGGGTGTGTAGGGAATGTAAGGTGCCTGCCCTTGAGAGAGGTAGGGTACTGAGGCAGCTGCAGGGATGTAGGTCTGTGGTCTTGTATAAGGCACAATCCCTCCTGCTGGGCTGGGATAGGAGTAGCTAAGTGGGTGACGTGTGAGAGTGTTCACCAATTCAGAGATTCCCCCCCCCCCTCTCTCTCTCTCTCTCTCTCTTTCTAACAAATCGGCCATATCCCACTAAAGCAGGGTGGCCCAAAAAGAAAAACAAAAGTTTCTCTTTTTAAATTTAGTAATTTATACAAGAGAAGGGGTTACTAACCCCTTGCCCCCAGCATTTTAGTCGCCTCTTACAACACACACGGCTTACAGAGGAAGAATTCTGTTCCACTTCCCCATGGAGAGTGAAACATGTATAATGATAATTAGCCTAGGCTATAATACCATCAGAAAATAATTGGGATTTTTTTTTTTTTAACAAACGGCCATATCCCACCAAGGCTGGGTGACCTAAAAAGTAAAATAAAAGTTTCTCTTTAGTGAATGGTTTATATGTACAATATTGTGAAGCTGTCTTATTCACTGGCTACATTCTTACTTGCTTTGTTTTTCAATGAAATGAGATGAGCAAAGTTTCATTTCCTTCCATTATTGCATTAATTAGCTAGAAATAATTGATTTATGTATTCCTTTTACCTAAAGACTGAAATAAAAAAAATAGTGATTGAGAAATTGCCCTTTTTTTTTATTAAAAACATGTGTCTGGGCAACAAAAATAAAACAGGCAAGATGTAGCAAATGTTGTACAAACTGTTGTACATGTTACGGTACTAACAGCATCGGTAGGCTAGTGGTGTAACTGCCCTCCTTCAGTAGTGTATCCTGGTCATATTTTCACCTCTGCTATGTATCAGCAACTTTCATACTGGGCTTAAAAAGTTAACTTATACACCGGCATGTATAGTAATTATCTTTGTTACTTGTGAAAATTATGTTGCATAATTTGTAATGTAGCTTTTTTTTTTTTTTTTTTTTTTACAGGGAATGCAATAGTCGTAGTAATGTAAGACATGTGCTCAATCAGTTCTTTACTGCAGTCTTGTTCCACATCTATTGGATTTGGAAAACTGAATCAAAGACAATTAAAGATTCTGGTTTCATAATAAAAGGTGAGTGTAGTGTATTGTTTATTTTACAACACATACATGCATATACACACATTTTGACAGTCGATATTTTTTTTAATATTTACAATTTTTATTGTTTATACTGATTACTCTTAATAGTAGAATATCAAATAAGATGCAATGTTGTAATTGATTGCAGTATTGTGGGCTATCTTGGTTACAGTCCATAATATGGTGATTTTACTGCTCAAATTGTTCCTATTGTATTGACAATATTTGACTCTTATGTTTAAAGTTGCTCTATTATGGTAACTGTTTCCTGAAATTTTAAATATAATATACTGTGTATACTGAACTATCCAGGACTGTTTTTTACTTTATTTTCTGGTACTATATTAGTTGATATTTTCATTTATTTAATTCTGTTTATTGGCTGGTATTACAAAAAATTGTTATTATTTAACCTTCATTTTTAGATATATGCAGTTAAACTGTAATAACAAACCTTTAAACTTTTTTTTTTCAATTCCAGATGCAGAAGCCTACTGTAAACGCAATGTGAAGACTGTTTTGCAGAAGTTGCAGGCACAGCTGCGCAAATACTCGCATGATGAAGCTGAGATGCTGTGAAATGTACAACTTACTTACTTTTAGGCTCATGACAAGATCTCAGAGATAATCAAGCACTTAAAGGCTGGGTGTGACAGGTTGTGATTGTTATTTATATTTAAGGTGTGGTATTTCAATAAATTAATTCGGTGAAATACAGTACCAAATATGGATGATAGACCGATTTTTATATTGGCTAAGATTTTACAACGATATTCAACAGATTTTTCTAGGTACAAACAATTCTTTGACTCGACAGTGAACATCTACTCTTGCATTTATTCATCATTTTTGTTTTGTTGAGTACTTTTAGGAGACTAGTGTGGAGTTATAAAAGAAAAAAATACTTTATGCTGTTGTGATTTTTGCTTCATATACAGTATTTTTCTTGGAGAAAACTTATATTTAGGTAAAGGTAGACATATACATATATGTGGCATGTATGTGTGCAGGCACTCACACTAACTCATGTACACTTCTGACTGGCTGTCTTTCTTGACCCATGTCCTTTACAAACACACATGAGCATGTTAATTATGTACTCTAGCACCTTTTAACTTTGAGCATTTGTGGGAAAGGATCACTGAAAAAAAAAAATAAAAATTCAAGAAAGTGAAACTATGTATGTAGGAATTTTTCTACTTGTATAATCTCTCTCCAATGCTACTTGGAGAAACACACATGAACCTGATAGGAATTATTTTCTTTTGAAGATGAAGCCTTTGCAGCATTAGTAAAGTTGGAAAACTCTAAGTTTGCTCATTCATTTTTACACACTACTGCTTCATGTCATTTTATACCTCTTTAATTTTATAGTATACAATTAATATTACTATTTATGTGACTATTGTAGTAGTGATGTATGGTACAACACACTTATATTTATGTACAATAACTAGGTCAGGCTGGCCTGCTCTTGTAAGTTTTTATATCCTAATAGTGTTTATTTTAATTTATGCATTGTACTCATTATTATTATTATTACAATCAGAACCAGGGGCTAAACCCACAAGGGTAATGCAGGCAGTTAACTCTTAAATTATGAGAGAGGGGCTCTGGTATTTCTATGCATGTCATTCCTTAGACTATGAAAAAGATGAGATGGGAGATAGGCGACTTGTTGAAAAAATATATATATATATTAACCTTAGTCAGAAAGAGAGAGGAGAAAGAGGGAGGGGGAAGGAAAGAGAAGGGGGAGAGAAAGAGAAGAGGAGGAGGGGGAGGGGAAAGGGAGGACTTGAAGGGCATACATGTTTCCCTCACTTTTTATTTTGCTTGAAAATTTGAAGAATTTAGGACCCAAATTTCATAGTATGAGCAGAAAACTGTTCTCTTATGTTAATAAATCATTGTTTTCATGAGTCCAATTTAGTTATAGATAGGATGTAATTGAATCCCTTCACGATAAAAGGAAAAAACTGTATTAGATAAAATGACAATTGAAGTGATGTTCCTCAAAAAAAAAAAAAAAAAAAATTGTCAGGTTGATCTTGTGCACAGAAGCTGTTCTTGTTATAGGCAACAGAGGATCAGTGCACTTAATCTTGTAGCTAATTCAGGAGGGAAGTAGAAAACATTTTCTGTTTTTATTAAATCTTTCTTGGTCACTTGTATAATATATTGCTCTGATCTTGGACAGTTTTTAACTTGGTCATGGTGCTCTTACATTTGCCCTTTGCAAACAATTACACTAGTTTTAGTTGATCTAAAGACTGTTCCCTAGGTAAGTAAAATTTTAAGATCGAGCAATACAAAAATTTAAGGACTCATAAAATTGTAATGACATGATTGTAGACACCTTACAGAATGGATGGTTCAAACCCATGGCAAGCCAGTCCTAAAACTAGCAGGTTCCCTGGATTTTCTCAAGTACCTTGTGCATGTTCATTTTGGTGTCCACCCAATCCGTTGCCTTATCAGTCCTCTTTGCCACACCAGTCTCTGACCCACGATCATATTAGCTACTGGGTTAAGCCCTGGTACTATCCCTTTCACTCATAACCTTCCTGTCACCAACCTACTCTTCCACTATCCCCACTTCCCCACTCACCCCACAAGGGTCTTACCTATACTTTCTTGATTCTGATCTTGCATGCTCATCTGCTGGGTATAGAGTTGGCTTGCTATGGGTTCAAATCCTCTTTTCTATAAGAAATCTATGGGGTAAAGTAAAGAAGTGTGCTTTAGATATGTTAGATAAAGTTTCCAATTTTAAAATTTAAAAGTCGATTGAGTTGGCCTGTACTGTATTTGAAGGAATAAAATTACAGTGACCCCTTGGTATAACAGACTAATAGGGAGGAGGGGGATGTCTGATAGATCAGATTGTTGTATAAAAATTATGATTGTAACAAATGACAAATGCCCAATGCAGCAGACTTGTCCATCGAATATGGAGCCTACGAGACACCTAACACTATTGGACATTTCTTTAAACAGTGGACATTGCCCATTGGATCAAGACTACTGGACACACTACGAATGACTTGTAATACAGTAAATTAATTGAAAATAATGGAGCTCAAAATACCATGCATGTACAGAATGGCTGAGTACAATAATTTTTCTTTCCTTTTGTGCTGGTGAAATATGGCTTGCTAGCCACTTACCAGCAGAGTGAGGATTGTATATATGTTGGTAGAATTACCAACAATATGTAAGTAAATGGACACAAGTGCAACTAATGTGACATTTTATTGTGGCAATGTTTCGCTCACCAGGAGCTTTGTCAAGCCGTTACAAACAGTACCCTTTGTGTCCATGTACTGTTTATAACGGCTTGACAAAGCTCCTGGAGAGCAAAACGTTGCCACAATAAAATGTTACATTAGTTGCACTTGTGTCCTTTTACTTTACAGAGTGATGATTATAACAAATGTTAATGCGAACAGAACATTGTTGAACACACTATTTAAACACTGTTTGAATTCTAGTGTCTTGAATCATTTTCTTATGTTTTGTAGGACCAGCTGATGAACCTTTTGTGTAGCATCTACACTGTTCTTAAGAGCATATACTGTAAGTTTGGCCTTCTACACATATCAAACACTGCTTTGCTACACCACACTCCTCACACACATGACACTGACATGCCAGACTTCACCTTCCTTATTATCTCAAGTTTCTACTTAACACTCAGATTCACATGCTTCCTCTTAGCACCATCACTTGCTTTAGAGGCTATTGTTAATAACACTACATTATAAAGTGGGGAAAAAGTGCTATAAATCAAGGGGAAAATTGAGTGCAAGTTGATAATAGAGGTAGGCCAGTGGCCCAGCTTGCTTGGGAACAAAAGCAGACAGGTCCTGGACAGGGCCATTTTGGGTCATATCAGACAAATGCCCAGTGCAGTGGACTTAATCCATTGAATGGGAAACCTACCAGACACTAATACTGGTAACAGACAAATGTCCCACACAAAGGACTTAGTCCACTGTATCAAGCCTTTGTCTAGCTAAATATGTTGTGAGCTGTATCTGATATCTGTTACATAGGGGTCCATTATGTTGAAGGTTTTCTGCATAGATTGAAAGCTCGTTGCGATGGGTTACCCATTTAGAGCATAAAGCATACTACACAAGGTTAGTGATAGCCTAGTGGAAAGTATAGATAAGAGATATTGATTATTGTGAACAAGTTTATAACAGGAAAGTTTAGGAACATGAATATAGTATTACATGAAATTGTTGTATAAAATAAAAAACTAGGGGGAAGCACTAAACCCATATGGGGCCTAGGAGTGGGAAGCAATCAGGTCTCATTCAAAGAAGGGTGAACATATCCAATTCCTTGGATCAAGAACCCCTAAACACTGTCAAGGAACCTCTCTTGAGGGGTTATAACAGAAGGCCACGCAGTAACATTGCTCGTGTTAATGTTTATTGTGAATTGAATGGAAACTTGCTTTCCATTAGTGTGAAAAGTTAATATAATATTTACTAAGAATTCTTGTACTTAATTCATAAATTTTAATCATTTTTTACAGCATGGGTGTAAATAAGTTTGCTGTGTATGTGTCACTGTGAGGCTTCATGCACTATCTTCTCAGGAATGGAGTTTAAAGTACAGTACATAATAGAAGAATAGCTTCTATTAGAAAAACTGTTTTCTTATTGCATTCATGTGTAACAAAATGTAAAAACAGTTTCCATTTTGTAGTTGTTACTATGCAGAAGGGATCGAAACTAGCAGTTCATGTAGAATCCATTGCTAATACAGGGCAATTTAAGAAAAAAATGTTAAATCTTCGAAGATATAAGAACAACTATATACATGTGCTAGGGTATTCTGTCTTGAGATATTTAAATTGCATAAGTAAACTGTAGTGGTTTTGGGTATCACTTGTGTTGTGAATGTGTTATGTACTGTATATATATATATATTTTTTTTTATGGTTCACTAGAATTCTTTATTTTTGAGCAAATGATCAATAACATTACAGTAAAATTTCTGGATTGCTCTGAACATTTTGCACTACCTTTTTAATTGATAGAAGGACAAAGATTTATATTCATTGTTGAACATGAGATTTTCTGGAGTAAGTCTTAATTTGCTACAAAGCAGAGAAGCTGCACTCTACGATGCAGCTGTTGGTGGAACAGCCATTATTTCACAAAAGCTAGCTGCTTCACTGAACCTTTTCCCAAATCATTCATCCTTTTGAAACTTAAAATTTCTGATGGTTTTATTTTTTAATTTTTGTAATGTGACAGAAAATCAAAGAAAATGTTATAGTCGCATTTCAGTGATTAAGAATCAAGCTCAGCAAATTCACGTAATGATGGAGAGTGTAAAAGTTCTAAGAATCCTAAAGAATCTAAATTTTTAACCCTGATAATAACCTGGATAAGTACTGTGTCTTACTTCTGCAGTGTTGCTGGCAGCAATTTATAGGGGGTGGTAGTGAGGGTAGGGACAATGAGGTGTGTGCTCTGCTTTTGGTGCCTAAATCTCTAGGAAAGGGAATCCTTTTCAGTGATGACATCAAATATTATCGAGGGGAATTTCTATCATCAAAACAATTTTCACAGCATATAAAATTCTTACTAGGATTTGGAAAAATTTGTGGTAACAATTGAAATTAATAGGCCTGGCAATGTTAGTTTACCTAGGTCTGGCAATGTTGTTAGTTTACCTAGGCCTGGCAATGTTGTTAGTTTACCTAGGCCTGGCAGTGATGTTATTTTACCTAGTAAGCGGGTGGACAGTGACATAACAGATACTGCATGCATAATCTAGGACAGATTTTAAAGTATGTCATACATCATTCTAACAAGTTTCAAAAATTTGAACTACTACTCCATTGGGTTTAAATAAACAGAAATATAGATAAAAATGTAGAATGCTATATACAATCGAATACTTTTTAACTTAAATAGATACTGTATTTTAATTCCAAAAGGAGAATTTTTTTTATAGGATGAGCAAAACTTACTTTGCTTCTTATGAGTAAATGTCACTAATAATGGAACAGTATATGGTTTATAGCACCTACATATTTTGTTATTCACATTTGTAACTGAATTCTAGTGATGATTTATCACATGGTTGAGAAAAATCTTTGATATATGTGTGTGTGTGACTACAACCACTGTGATTATAAATTGATGCCTACATTCATACCTAACAGAAATGCTTTTCTATAGGTAGGT